AGTTCCAAAAATTTTCCCGATTAGTCAAAATGATCGATCATAACTATATGAAGCGAGAAGGTTAGAACCTTTACACCAAGACAGCAAAATAAATAACAAGATAAAAGAAAACATCAAAAGATTGTTTCTTGTTCAGAATTATTCTTTGATTTCTTTCCTTACAAAGGACCCAAAATAAGCCTGAGTCATTATCTCACATCCGTGACATCCTAAATATATTCATGCATATATGTACAAATGTACCTACGCTTGTTCGTACACGTTTTAAATTGTATTTTGAATGCTTATTACTAAATTCTTGCATATTACTTCTTGCCTCTTTAGGGTCATCAATATGAAACGGTGTCGGGTTTTGTTTGTGAGGCTTTTGGATATATCCCAAGGACGGGTGAAAGCATTAAAGTGGTCCTTGAAAAGGAAGATGAAGAAGCAGAAGAGTCAAATTCTGAAAACAAAAATAAGAAGCAAAGACGCCTAATCTTTAATATCGAGGTATAATTTTATTTCTGTATTGTCGACAATTTCATTTGAGATAATTTGTTGGGAAGTACCATAAAGCTTCGGAAAATCGTTCGGCCTATCATTTCTCAATTTTTGCGATTTTATCATCTGCCACTTTCATAGTTCATCTGCATATGATACCGTTTTCATCGTTTCCTTTTAGTCAATGATACGATTCCTTAACTTTCATATTCGGATTTTAGTATTAAGCTGATTATATGCTGTTTAACATTGATTATTAATAACTACTCTTTGGTCGGTATCTACTCTGGCTGTTAACTGTACTTCTTTTTCAGCACTCTTACACTGTCTCGTTTGGTTTCTTTAATTTCGGAGTATTAGGGTTGATATGTTGGACCTTTGTGCAGATATTAGCAGGAAATGCTAGAAAGGTTAGTGCTGTTCGGTTTGAACGGGTGAATGACAATAAAGGTGAGGTGGCTCATCTTGTCCCTAAAGTCATGGAGAAGAAATGGAGCAGTAATGGGGAGTCTGGTAGTGTAGAAAATGATAACATATTATCAGAGAGACTTGATGACAGCCTCTCTAGATTGCACCAAAACGATGATCATAGCAGTGATAGAAATTAGTGAAGCATAACTCATTTTTGTTCCCTCATTCTTACAACACCATATAGAAGGTGAAGGATTACAAGCACCAACAAACAATAAACTAACGTTATGATGTTTCACAGATGAAGAGAGGTGTCAATATTTAAATCATCAACACAGTTTGTTCTGTTCATGACTGTTTCTCTTGACCCCATGTCTGATAAACTAAGATCATCTGTGATTTGAAGACGAGATTTTCTGCTTTCCAAGCTTGGTTGAAGGTATGAAGAGCCTTGGAATGGTGACTTAGGTGGAAGAACTAGTTCAGAATGGAAAAATAAGCCTGTTTGCTCAGACCACGCAGCTGAATTGGATGCTCGTATCGACTCAGACGACAGGTTTTGAACCTCTTTCCGCTCTCTCAACTCCTTAGCTTTCTGCAGTCGTCTAAATCTCTCTTGCAGCAAAGCAATGGAGGAGTTCATTTCTCTGGCATTACAGTTTTCACTACTCATTCTCAAAAGAAAAGGAACCAAAAAAAAAACACGAAAATCGATCTCCGACTCTTCACGTCTTCGCCAACGAGACCTATCAGGTAGCTGTTTGAGGAATGTTTGAATATCTGTATCTCTATTTATAGGACATGGGTCTCGCATTAGTTAAGTTTAAGCTTTCGATTAGATTTTTGAATCCCCGAATCGCGAAAGTAAAGGGAAGAAGCAGGTGGGGGAAAGATGGAAAGGCCAAGTAGAGAGTTCCAAGGAGAGAGATGGATTGAGAGGCAGGAATGTAGCTTTTGTAGGCGTTTGTTGAATTCAATTATTGGTTTTTGATTTCAAATCTGTTTGTCTGAGGGGCTGTTCTGTTCTATGCTGTGCTGTGCTGTGCCCTTTCAAGGGGACTTTGCTTTCAATGTACCTTTCTCCTTTTCTTTTCTCTTTTCCTTTGAATTAGAACAACTTAACATATGCAAAAATGTATCGTTTTGGGCTTCGTTTGCTCTTATATCGATTTAGTTCTTCTCGTTTTTAAATTACCTAACGAACCCTTAATGTTTTATTGATTTACGTTATGAGCGGATATCAATATATTCCAATGATGTATTCGAGTCTATTTGTAGTAGATCAAATATCTACTATGTTTAATAGAACTAAAACAAAATGGAAATAAAAATTTCTGACAGGGAAGGTTGGTTCACGATATGTACAACTAATTTGTAATGGCTTAGATATTGTCCTATTTGAGTTTTTTCTTTTGGGCTTTCCCTCGAGGCTTTCAAACGAGGGAAAAGTTTCTACACCCTTATAAAGGGTGTTTCGTTCTCTTCTCCAACCAATGTGGGATATCACACTCCACCCCCTTTAGGGCCCAGCTTCCTTATGACACATTGTCTTATGTCTACCCCCTTCAGGGAACCGCCTCTTCATTGACACATAGTTCGGTGTCTGACTCTGATACTATTTGTAACGGCCCAAATCCACCGTTCGCAGATATTATCTTCTTTAGATTTTTCCTTTCGGGCTTTCCTTCAAAGTTTTAAAACGCGTTTGTTAGGGAAAGATTTCCACACGTTATTTCGTCGTCCTCCTCAACCAACGTAGGATATCACATAACTAAAATCCTTTTTTTTTTGTAACCGATAGGAGTTTTTCTTCCTCTACGATCACGAGTCAATACCACCTTCATATAATAAACTATCCCAGATAATCTTAACGTTACAGCAACTTAGCTTAGTATTTAGTTTGCTAGTTTAGTATTTAGTTGCACTTAAATGTAAACGCTGGTTGAAAAGTCACATGGGAATGATACCTTGTTGGATTGTAGGGTTTGGAAGTTTGTTTATAAGACCACGAGTCTATGACGAATGAGTGAAACCTATTGCCCCACCTTATGAGATATTCTTAGGGCTAACTTCCAAACCTCCAAAATCCACCACTACCCATTGCACCACATTTTGAAGCATTCATTCTCTTCAACAGTTCTCTCTATTCTCTAACTCTATTTTTTTCCCCTGTCTTCTTCTGAATTCACACTGCTATGCTCGAATTCTAGCGTCACTCGTTTAACTTCAAGTCCCCTTTTTCACCAATAGAGTGTGTCTTTCTTAAAAATAATAGATCTTTTATGAAAATCTGACATCATACCTCAATTATTAATGCGGGCCAATATGATGATCTTTCTGGCCACGATGCCACGATCTCTCTCCTTGTGTTTTGAAACATGACAAACTATTGGTTCACAATAAATGGAGATTTACAAGATGACGTAATTTGTGTTGATTGTTCAAACTCTATCGTAGATGAGTTCAAAACTTGCCTTTACTAATAGTTACTTTATGTAATAGCATAAGTAACTCAGAATTGACATGTGTATTATGAAGTTTGATCTTGATCTATAGCCCGTTAAAAATTGAGAAATTAGCGTTATTTTGTACTGAGTTTGAAATGACATGTGAAAGCACTGTTTTTAAAATTTTATAAATTTTATAATCACTTTTAGTAAATTTAATACTATAAACCATACATCACTTTATACTATCACAAAATTTAACTAAGCCAACTTTAAGGTCATGAAATAAAAGACATATTCGTTGTGATCCAATAAAAGGGTAGAAACCCTTTTCATCACTCTAGAAGTCGTACGAAATTTAACCTTAATAGTGTGCCATAGAACAAAAGTAGAAGACGAAATGAGGATACTCATTGTGGTCGAATACAAGACATCTTAAGGGCACTTTTTAAGCAAAACATAATAAAGATTTGGGAAGTTTGATTCCTCGTATTGATACCTAGTTAAGATATTAAAATATCACAAATTTGATCGTAGGGCCAAACAATCATCCAATAAAATTAGTCGAGATGTGTACGTAGGAGAACAAAAGCAAGAGATTTCCTCCTCTCTCTTCACCTGTGTGTCATAATATGCATTCAACACTTGGAGATCTAAACATGAAGTTGCTAATCAAATCATATAATATAAGGAATGTATAAAAGAAGCTTTGCGCCTCCTAGGATGCCATTGGAGGCTGTGGCAGCTACTTCCATGGCATATTCACACCTCCCACAGCTGCTCTGCTACCACACTGCTGCGGGGAAACGGCCAACCAAGTGGCTGTGTTGAGTAAAAACGCCTGCGGATGGAGTCAGAAGCCTGCAAACACAAACCAAATTCCAAACACAAACTACACCAAACTCGAGCTTTATTAACTGGTTCATTTGCAGGATTCAAACACATATAATTATAAACCATAAGCTATGGCTCCTGTTAACAACATACCAATTTCTGATACAAGATCATGGAAGCTGTGAGTAACAAAGGAGTTGTCCAAATTAGAAAAAATTTCCTTTTTCGTTATTAGGACTTGGAAAGCATTAACATTAAAGTTGACCTTATTTAGCAGGTGCTCTTCTTTTCTTCTCCTTCTTGTCTTGGGATTTGGTAATCCATCACAAAGAAATGGCTAAATACAAATGAGGAAGATAAGAAACGTCACTGGCAGCCAAGGAGCATAGAAAAATGCATCCGATTGCCAAGAACAGAAAATGACTATAATTACAAAACGTAACTTAGAAACAGGCCAACAAGAAGCAAGAAATTCTGTGAGGCCTCAAATCCTTAATGGTATTACTGCAAAGAACTTCAGTCTCGTCTTTGAACGAATGATCCACAACTATGAGAGATTGCACATTTGCAGTCCTCCTGGATATGCCTAAGCATCCCAAAAGCATCCAGCAGCAGATACCAGGAAGTAAAAAAGCTAAACGAACAGTACACAAACAAATGCTGTGAGATCCCACATCGGGAGTGGATTGTAAGATCCCACGTCGGTTGGAGAGGAGATCTCAAAAGGATGACATCTGCAACCGGTGGACTTTGACTGTTACAAATGCCCTTTGATTCGCCGAGAAGAATTTAAAAATAGAAGTAAATAAATAAAGTAGCCAGAGCTCTTCAGAATCTAATCCATAGTATTAATCTTCCATGGGGCCACTGTCAGGGGAAAAAACTACATTCTTTTTCAAGCTTTTTATTTCCAAATGAAAGCAGCAAATCCATTATCGAAGCTTCTTTCTAAACCAAATTTGAAGGGATTTAACTGACCAATGATTCGGGTTAAACCCCGCAACCTCTTTTTGGAAGTGCATTTGAATAATTCCTGGTACTCATCCTTTCATTTGAGGAAGGTTCAAGAGACCAACTTGCCACAGTAGAGAGAGGCTAAGAGGTTATCAGCCAAAAAATGAAGCTGTGATAAGATCTCAAAAGCTTTCATACGCAAATTCAGTTGAAAACCTACATGTCAATATAAATCATATAATTTTAATATCAATCAAAACCTATTCAATTGGTATTGGGGGGGCAGAGGGAGGGACCATTCACCTCTTTCATATCTTATGTATGTGTCACCAAGTGCAACTAGATATTAGATGTCCTGCTGATTATAACGCAACTTGGAGTTAGCAGTAGGGTAGAGAGAACTCAACTAAAAACTTTCCAGTTCAATATGCATTCAATTATCAATAGTGCTCAAAATAAAAATTGTCACATTATAATAGTCTAAAGACTCTTTTAACAACTTTTCATGTATATCTATCAGTCACATCTTTGAACAATGAGAGGCATACTGTCATCGTAACCTCCATCTATTTGATTGAACTTAGAGATTGATGTAGCTTATCCTCATGAGCCTTCGAGACTGGTTTTCTAAAAGGTTTCAGTATCAAAAGAGTTCACAGGATCATTGAACTTGCAGTGTGATACACTAATTTCTATTAGAAACCACAAACCTCCACAATGGCATGATATTGTCCACTTTGAACATAAGCCCTCATGGTTTTTCTTTTCATTCTCCAAAAGGCCGCATACCAATGGAGATGCACTCCTTACTTATAAACCCATGATCAACCCCTTAATTAGTCGATATGAGACTCCTCTCCCAACAATTCTACTTCTTTTGACATAGGAATAGATTTGAAGTAGTCAGCTTCCGGTTTGAGAGTCAACTTGCATTATTATAAATGTGGGATGAACAAAATACAAAAGGGGTAATGTCTATGTGGAGGGGCAGGACCTTGATGGGAGATGTCATCTTATTAACGAAGGCATTGCTACCCATCCTTAAGAAGTAGAAGCTTAGGGCATTTTAACAATATGCCAGTCATAAATACTTTCCCTCATCAAATAGCTTCTGAAGCATGATTTCTTAAGGCATAAAGACAAATAAGTAGTAAGTTAAGCAAGGAAGGATTTTGGTGGCAAACATATGAAAAGAACAAAAGCCGGAAGCTGCAGTTTAAGGATGCATATTTTGGAACTTTCGTCATTCTGATTGAGATTTGTACCTTCAAAGTTGGCAAGATGGTAAAATTTTAAAGTTACGAGTAGACAGGTAGCAAAAACTCCTCAATTCGACAGTGTCAAGGCTAACATTACAGTCATTCGAACTCCAAATAACTTGAAATAGTGGAATGGACATGCTTTTGGAAATTTGGAGGACAGAATAGTTTGTAAAATAGATCCTTCGGGTATTCTAACTTGCAAGTCTCTCTTCAGAAAGCTTACAGCAGATCACCCTGCACCGAAGGCACTATTCAAGGCTCTAAAGAAAGAAAAGTACCCTAAAATGATGAAAGTGATCATCTGGACTGCTGTTCATGAAGGATCAAGCATAAATGTGAGATCCCACATCGGTTAGGGAGGAGAACAAATCATTCTTTATAAGGGTGTGGAAACCTCTCCCTAGCAGACACGTTTTAAAAACCTTGAGGGGAAGTTCGAAAGGAAAAACCCAAAGAGGATAATATCTGCTAGTAGTGGGTTTGGACCATTACAAATGGTATCAAAGACAAACACCGGACGATGTGTCAAAGAGGAGGCTGAACCCCGAAGGGGGTGGACATGAGGCGGTGTGCCAGCAAGAATGCTGAGCCCCAAAAGGGTGTGGATTGGGGGTCGTACATCAATTGGAGAAGGGAACGAGTGCCAGCGAAAACGCTGGGCCCCGAAGCGGGGTGGATTGTGAGATCCCACATCGGTTGGGGAGGAGAACGACATTCTTTATAAGAGTATGAAAACCTCTCCCTAGCATATGTGTTTTTAAAACTTTAAGGGAACGCCCGAAAGGGAAAACATCCAAAGAGGACAATATCTGCTAGCGGTGGCATTGGGCCGTTACAATAAATCATAGGTTACAAGCAGGACAGCCTCATAATGCTCTTTTCCTGAATTGCTATATCCTCTGTAAAACAGATGGAAAATACCAGCCGTTTGATCTTTCCTTGGCACCAAACCTCAAGGTAGAGTCTTTTTACCACTTCCAGCATAAGACTGATTTTTCTGTACAGAACAGCACGACTTGTTAAATTGTGGAACATTCTTTTAGAAGGAAAGCTGGAGTTCTTTAGTCTGGTCCTATAAAAGAAATTTTGTGGGATGTTTGGCTAGGAAGTAATAGACGAATCTTTCAAAATTAACACAAGGAACCCTCAAATTTAGGGGATACATTTCTTTTGTAGCTTCTCTATGGAGTTCTTTCCCAAAATATTCATGCAACTATTTCCTCTCCTATAAAAACTCTAGTTGGAGTGCCTTTCTTAAGCTCCAGTGGGTTTTTTTTCCTTACCTTTTAAAAAATTTATACTATGAAATTTGTTTCTCAAAAGAAAATAAAGCTACAAAATGATTTATTTATTGATGGAATACAAAATGTAACAAACAAAAGAGGCCTGAGGATATACAGAGCAAACAAAACAGAAAAGAAGAATATTACGAGAGAAAAATAGCATCCATCCAAAGCCTATGTGAAGGCATTCAAATGCATAGCTCCACAATCTTCTCGAGCTCATATTATGTGTCCTAAAAAATCTTTCTATTTCTCTAGTTGAATACATCATAAAATAAACAGAAGGAAAGAAAAAAAATCTGTTTCCCAAAGAAATTTCCCTCTATTCTCCCATAGCCCACTAAAATCCAAATTAGAAGTGAGGTCAAATCCGAACATTTGCAAGGATCTGCCCCATACGATGCTGGAAAAAGAGCTATACCAACTATAGTCCTTTCTTGAATCCCTACAGAACATGGACCGCTGGAGGAACAAACCAAAGATAAACCTCAAAATAGTGAAGTCAAAAAGAACTTCATCATTTTTGGAACCTCCAATTTCAAAATCTTGAAAATGAAATGAAGCCAATTAATCTAGGAAGAGGAAATTGAAGCACAGAAAAAGGAGCTTCATATAAAAACGCCAGAAGAGTACAATACCCAAACCAACTTGTCCTCAATCCAATGCTAAGGACCACAGCAGGAATGACTTATGACAGAGAAGCAAGGTCCCAACTCTCTCTCAATCATAATAACTCATAATATAATCACAAGAACTTAGGAATGTCTAAAAGAACAATACATACATACATATTATTTCGAAAGCTGAAATTCCACCCCTAAATTAAAACGGAGAGCTAAAGATTCAAATAAGTACGAGCAATCTTAAGTTTATAATCTTCTTATGAATGTTTCCTACAGCTTACAAGATGTCACATCATTCCAAAGTATAACTATTTCATTCATGCAGTATTTGAAATGCAAATAATTGAGCATGAAAACATTGAAACGTGTTATTTATAAACGTGTTTCTAACATGTTTATTCCTAATTTTTATGCAAATAAGTGCAGTGTATCTAATTTTGAATTCATATTTTGTGTTAGTGTTTGAGAGCATACAAATCAGACTACAAAAGACCTATGAAAAAGTAGTATAACAGGAAAAAGTTACAGAAGATCTGGATCCCTGGTATGTTGATCGATTCCCCTGCAATCTCCTTACCAGCAGGATCAGGGCACTAAAGAAGATCGGAAAATAAAATGATAGCCCCAGCTCGTGCAACAAGCCTAGTATAGGTTTCATGAGCTCAAACAATTCCAATAGCATTACTAGCAATAAGTTTTGTCACATAATCTCCTTCATGAGCTCAAACAATTGGATGAAGGAAAGAGAATACGACTGAGCAGCTTGAAATTTGACGGAATCAATGAAATAATCCAGTAGAAATGGAAGAGAAAGCGGCCGGAAAGCATGGCGGCGAGAAGAAATTTTCCCGGCTCCGACTGATCGGTCTTTTCCCGGCTCGGTTCGTTTGAAAGCCTAATTTTGAGATTTATATTCAAATTTTTGTTTTGGGATTTATACATATTTAATTTATAAAAACATTTACCAAAAATATCAATTTTTTTTTTTTAAGTTAAACATAGTTATAATAAATAAAAAAATAATACATTTTAGGAAAAAAAAATATATTTTTGGAGATCAATTTTTATGAAATTTGTGAATTAAAATTTGGTGAAAATTATTGTTAAGATTTAATTAAAAAAAATTATGTGTATATTAATAAATTAGTTAAAAAAAACAAAGTCGGTATATAATAAAATTAGTAATTAATTTTTTATAATAAAGATTAAATTGTTACCAATTTTAAAGTGTATTAATTATATATTTGCATATTGATGATCAAATATTAAAGGGTTATTTTCGTAAAAGTTTAAGAACTGAAAAATATGTCGGAATAAGGGTTTTTTCGAAGGGACGTTAAGGAGAGAAAGACATCTATTGATGGGAGTGATAGCATATATCTCATGAACGAGAATGGGTTATTCTCGGGTGCCTAGAAAAGGAGAGGGAATGCCTTAGCTTCGCCTAACCTTGTTCTCAAAGATTGTGAGCCAAAAAGTAAGCTTTTGAGGCTAGAAGAGAGCGAGATATCGAGTTTGTTCTCGAAAAAATTATAGTTTCATGGGAGAATCATACTCCTTGTGTTCGCTTTATAACTTTGTCTTAATAATTATTAATTAATGTTGATGAACTCCATGTCATTTTTAGAATGATGTTGACGTGACAGACAATAAATGAAATGAGTATCCATACTTTTACCGTATTTAGAATTTTTTCATAGAGGAGGTTCGATGTTCACTCGAGATTAGGATTTAAAAGAGAAGATTCATTATTCGAAAGTCCGAATGATATGATTCGTTCATTCTTCCGTTAAAGTAGAACGATCGAAGTTCACTGTCAACCCACTAAACTAAGTCTACAAAGTCGCTACTTAAAATCACTATTGAAAAAATTAGCTGAGAATTATTTTAGAGTGTTTTAGAGAATAAATGTTCACGAAATTAAATATTAAAAAATTTATATATAGAACTAATTCAATCTAGTTTTAGAGAAATCATTTAAGTAACTCATCCTAAACCAGTCTAAATATGTTCATAATCCGACCTAAATTATATAAATTAGATTGAGTTGATCAATTTCTCCACATCTTCCTTCATTCATCTCGTAGTCTCCAATGGAATTTTGATAGTTATATGTTGTTATGCTATAACATATTCCAAAACAAAATAACGCGTGAAAAAATAAAAAATTATTGAAACGTTCAAGAAGATCCTCAAAAGAATACTAAAGTAACTATAATCGACTCCAAGGCGCATGTTCCAAACTATATAAATATACTTAATATCAACCACGTGCAAGACTACATATATGCATATTGTGAGTATTTAATTATATTCTATATAGATGTATGATATATATTGTAAGATCTCACATTGGTGAGAGGGGAACAAAATATTCCAATGAGTGAAGATCTCTTCTTAATAGACAGTCTTAAAACCTTAAGATTGACGATGATATGTAATGAGTCAACGCAAACAATATTTGTTAGCAGTGACCTTTAGACACTGAGCAGTGCCAGCAAGGACATCGGGCCTAAAAGTGGTGTGAATTTTGAGATCCCACATTAGTTAGAGAGAAGGAACGAAACATTCCTTATAAGGGTATAAAAAACTCTCCCTAGTAGACGTGTTTTAAAACAGAGGCTAACAACGATACATAACAGGTCAAAGCAAACAATATATGCTAGTTGTGGCCTCATAGCTAAGTAAAGGTATGTTCAAAGAGAAACATAGGAAGATGAAAGCTTTGCACCTACCTTATTAATCAAGATGACAATTGAGAAAGACCGAACATAGAATTGTCATGCCGTCTAAGATAATGAAACCATCGCCCACTCCGAATTCAGTATGCTAACATTCAATCTTGAATCATAGATGTAGTATATGAGATAATTTGTTGCAAACTACTCTAAAATATTCTTGAATATTGGACAACAATTTAATGTTTGCCCATATTCACATAACCCAAGCAACTTGAAGATCAGTAGCAATGAGCAAAATAGATACAAGAAAGAACATAATTGCTTTATCAAACAGAATCACTCAACTTTGAGCATCATAACCTGTTTTTATATGAACATATAGCATTACGAACACAAACCCTGTTTCAATACAAATCAAATCAGCCACCAACTAAAGATTTGAGGCCTTCTACAAAACTTTCTATGCAAGGTAAAAACATAATATAACAATTCATCTAAATGTGAGAGAGAAAAAGCTTATCACAAGAAACAAGGAGGTTTTGAGAAATTAAGTTCATGCACCCATCCTCTTAGATGGATGCAGCATGATGCATCCAATTCAGATTGTGGTATCTCTTTTCCCAAGAGAGAACCCAAACTATCCATTCAAAAGATTAAATCAATAAGAACAGGAGAGCATTTGATGCAAGTACTTCTTAAAAAAGAGCACTTTTTGAGTGCTTTTGATTGACCTAAGTGATTGATGAGGAAGTTCTCTTCAAAGATAAACAAACCTAGAACCTAATATCAAAGTGAATTGTCATCAACCATTTTATATTAAAGTGCTACTAAAGTAGTTCTCAAGCAAAACCTATAA